TCCCGGATAATCTGTTCTGCATACAGGTTGAAAAGTTATGGAGACAGGACACATCCCTGGCGTACACCCTTCCCAATTTTGAACCACTGTAATACAGCTTACTAAAATTCTACAAATACTAAAATACGTATTTACTTTTTTCTATAAGACTTTTAAAGTCATAGTAATAATAAATATCAATATTTTTAAATTAGCAGGGTATGACAGATTACTCTTCTGAACACAAACACAATATATGAAAATATGAATTTCCAGAAAGATTGTATTTTGAGGATTCACATTTAAACCAATTGCACTGCAATTCCCAAGGCTCCTGGTTTGAATCTACCAACTGCTCCATGGGAGAAGGATGGGCAATCTCCTGTTTGGTTACCTACCTCTGAAAACGCACCAAAGGGTCAGCTATGGGTCGATGGCACACGATAACAGAAAAACAGTCTAAGTTCATGACAGCTTTTCAGGTTCTGAGTGTATAGGACAACAATTTCTTCTCGTTTTAAAATTGACAACTTAAAGGCTTTAATAATGTAGTATCTTTATGATGGAAAAAGTGATATTGAAGGGAGCAATGTTCTAAACCGTGTGGGCAAGGAGAAGCTAAACACTAGAAACAATCTAAATGTTCAAAGAGTAGAATTGAAGGAATAATGACATATGCATAGGAAGTGATACCATAGAACTTTAAAGTTTCATAATCAGTAAAATTACTGTCCTACAATTTATGGATATTGGCAATGAAAATTATGGTCTCTATTTTTATAGGATGGTTAATTGAAATAAATTCTCCCCCCCACTTTTGTTAGGTTTTTCTTCCTTTCCACTCAACACTTTGTAACTGTGGTTTCAATGCACACCTAGTATCTAAGATCTTTAAGCAGATACAATTTTCTTTTCACCAGAACAAGACCCCTATTAATTTTTCATATATAAACAAAACCACTTAATTTTCACTTTAAAAATAATAGAATTATAAATTCATACTCAGTAATCCACTTAAATAAGAATTTCAGAAATACTTTCATTCAGAAAAATTTTAAAACTAGGCAATATGAGAGGAGAGCATCCAGTACCTTCTAATCCTCTCTGCACTGGAGTACCACTGATGCACCACCGATTAATCCCCGTCAAACGCTGAGCCATTTCTGCAGCCTGAGGGGGAGAGAGAGAAATTTACAAAAAGAAATAGACCCAGAAAGAACAATTGTTTACAAATGAAAGCTTGTACTTCTTCTCAGAAATATGGACTCTTAATTAGCAGTCAACACATTCTACGTGAGGTGCTATTCAGTGGGCCACTTGTAGGACAGTGGTTCTCATTAGTCAAAGGCAGTCATGTGTTCCTGAAGAACTGAGGTAAACAGTCTAAGTAACTGCAAAGCTCTCAGAATAGGGTGCTCCACACTCTAGACCCTTCCATTCTCAGACGTGAACTATAACCAAAGCCAAACCCACTGCCATGGAGTCAGTTCTGATTCCCAGCAATCTTCCGCTGAGTTTCTGAGGTTATAATTTTGTTTTTTTTAAGGCTATAACTCCTAATAGGAGCAGACTGGCTCACCTGTCCCCCACTGAGCAGCCAGGGGATTAACACTACCCACTTTTTAGTTTGCAGCATAATAAATAATGCCCTGCACCAATTAGTAAACTTAAAAGCTCCAAGGCTAAATGACACATTTCATAGATTACTCCACTTTCACATGTGAACTATATAATTAAAAAATCTGGTTTGAGTTACTGATTAATCAAAGAGGACAGAATAAAGACATAGGACAAATGATGGATGAATCAAAATTCTACTCTCTAAAGCACCATTTTCTGTTAACATTTGGTCTAAGATAACACTGATTAAAGTTATCAGAGGCTGAAGCTCTGGTGGCCTAGTGGCAAGAAGCTGCACTGCAATCTCAGAGGAATGTGGTTCAAATACACCAGATGCTCTGCTGGAGAAGCAGAGGCAATATCCTCCTGTACCAGTCAGAGTCGATTTGATGGTAAACACAAAAAATAATAAAATTTTTAAAAAAGTTATCAGAGGCCATCTAATGAACATTCCAGTAAGAAGAGAATTTATGGAAATTTCTAAACGGAATTTGCTTGATATACACCACATATATGTCATTTAAATACATAAAACATTCCCATATAGAGCAAAGATTCAGAATATAATAATTCCAAAGTGTTATATAGTTCTTAGCATAAAAAACCCAAAATGTAAAATATTTACTGTTTATATTTAATATAAACTTTTGATCAGTATCAACCCTGTATATTAACTATACTGTTGTGACAACTGTATTCTCTAAAGATAAGTTTCTCCCAGCTTCTTCCACCTCATTTTTTCCCTCAGAAGGTTTTTCATGAATTCTCACTTTTACAGTAGGACATTCAACCATCTGAGCCTCATCGAGGCAGATTCTCCACCACTCCACAGCTACGAGTGGGCTGGGGATGGCCATGTAGCGCTTCTGGTTCCGGAGGCGACGCCCATCTTCACTGTTGCTATGCGGGATATCCACATAGTTTAGCTCTGAACGAAGGACATCATAGGTGATTATGACTATATCCTGTTCTGCCAAAAAGTGAGGCTGTAAAAAGCCATCCTTCTTCACGCCTTGATATACCTAGGAAATAATCAGTGTTGGCTTAAGTCATTGTGCAAAGAGTCATCAACAATAAATGAAACATTTCTCCAGTTATTGAACCTCGTCTACTTGCTTAGGACTAATCCAGACTTATACACTCATCTACAGAAAGATACATTTCAGTGAAGGCTAAGAGCAGAAGCAGTGTGAAAGGAACTAGAACAGATCAACACATCTTTATTACAGTAGAATGACTAACTCTGGCTTTCTCTCACTGTTGCTGAGTTGGAACCAACTCAAAGCTGAGTCTTCATGGTGTTCCCAGGGCTATACACTGCACAGGAGATTACCTGTCTTTTTCCTGGGTCAGGTAATGGTTGATTGGACTGTCAAAGAGGTGTGGCCTCTGGGTTAACACCACAACTCCCTACACACTATGCCAACAGAGCTCCCTTAATTCAATGGCTGAGAAATTTAGACAGAAGTTAAAAATTTAAGAGAAAAAAAGAAAATTTAAAAAAAAATTTGAAGGGGTCCAGAAGAACATTTACGAGTGCTCAAAGGTAAAGAAATGGGGGAAAGGACTTATAAGTAGCTGAAGTAAGTAGCAGGTGTAAAATTCTAATGGTATGAGGATGGTGCAGGATCCTGCAAGGCTTAGGAGCTGGAGCTGACTCAGCAGCATTTAACAAGAGAATGAAAAAAATCAAGCAGTTAAGAGCTTTCCTTGTGACTCAGAAACTTGCTATAGAATGCAGAAGAGCCAAAACCAAATGGAAGAAATTCTAAAGTAAGTGGAACATGGGATTCCAAAGGGCAGCTTGGGGAGACAAAAGACTACAATAAATTGTGCAAATACCTGGAGTTAGAAAGTCAACAGGTAAGAAAAGTAAACATTTCTTAAGATAAAAGAACTAAAGAAAAATTCAAGCCCCAAGTGGTAGTACTTAAGGATCCTGGGGGGAAACATATTAAGTGATGCAGGAAACATCAAAAGAAGATGGAAAAAGTGCAGTCACTGTATCAAAACAGGTTGGTATGCAACCATTTCAGGAGGCAGCACATGATCAGTTGTATGAAGGAAGATGTTCAAGTGGTAATGAAAATACTGGTAAAAAAATAAGCCTCCAGAAATCATCTGAGATGTTTCAACAAATAGATACAACTCTGGAAGCTCTTATTCATTTACACTAACAAATCTGGAAGAAGGCAATCCAACCACCTCATTAGAAGACAAACATCATTGTTTGCACAGTACAGAAAAGTGATATAACAGAATGCAGAAATTATCGAACAATATCATTTGTATCACATGCTGAAGATAATTTTAAAAAACAGTCACAACAATACATTAACAGAACTGCCAGAAATTCATGCCAGATTCAAAGGAACATAGAACAAAAAATATCAATGCTGATGTCAGATGGCTTTTGGCTAAAAGATGAGAATTCCAGAAGAAAGGCTGATTTGTGTTTTCTCGATTATGCAAAGGCCTTTGACTATGTACATAATAAATTATTGGTAACTTTGCCAAGAATGGAAATCTTAAGTGCTCATGCATAATCTCTACATAGACATACAAATAGGTAATTGTTCCGTGAACAAGATGATAATGTTTGGTTTGTTTTTGTTATCTGCAACTCAACCCTGCTCTGTCCTGAGCCACTGTCATTGCCTCTGACACACCTACCCTTACTATCCTAGTCACTCCTAGTCACTGAGTCAATCCATCTCATCAAGGGTGTTCCTCTCTTGTGCTGTCCCTCCACCCTCCCAAGCATGATGTTATTTTCCAAGGACTGGTCCCTCCTTCCAAAATGCTCAAAGTATGTGAGATGGAGCTTCAGAATCCTTGCCTCCAAGGAGCAGCCTGGTTTCACTCTCCAGAAGAAATCTGTTGGGTTTAAAATCAGGAAAAGTGTGTTTAAGGGTTGGATCCTCTTACTATATTTATTCATGATGCATGCTGTGTACATGATGTAAGAAAAACATGGCATCAGGACTGGAAGAAGACTCGTAACAACCTGAAATATACAGATAATACCATCTTTGTGATGAAAGAGAACTTGAAGCACTTACTGATGAGGTCTACAAGATAGATTACACCACAATGTTAATGATTAGTTTTCAGTATGGACTGTATTTTAATGTAAAGGAAACAAAAATTTTCACAAATTGGCCAATAATTAACATCCTAACTAAAGGAGAAAGAACTGAAGCAGTCAATGATTTAATTTTACTTGGATCCATAATTAATGTTCACAAAAGTATCAATCAAGAAAAAAAATCCACAAAACTATATATTGCTCTGGGCAAATTGCATAAGACCTCTTGACAAAGTGTTAAAAAGATGTCATTTTGAGGACTACAGTATACCTGTTCCATGTCATGAGGTTTTCAACTACCTCAAATGTATGCAAAATTAACTGTGGTTTTGGCAAAGACCACTGAAGGTACCATGGACTGCAAGTCTTGCCAGAGTGCTCAAGAGAAGCAAGGACGGTCAAACTTCAGCTCACATACTATAGACATGTTCTCAGGATGGACTAGTCTGTAGGAAGAGACACCATGCTTGGCAGAGGGTCCGTAGAAAAAGAGGACTTGAAATAGGTTGGTATGAGACAGTGGCTCCAACAATGGGTCAAATACAGCAAAGACTGTGAAGACAGATCAAGCCTGGGCACTGTTTTACTCTGCTGTCCATAGGGTCACTGAGTTGGGACCCATTCTAGGGCACTTAACCACACCAAGGAGCAAAATCTACTTTACCAAGACTCGAAGAGATGAGGACTTGACATGCCTGTTTATCTCATCCACCCACTGATGACAGATAGAACTTGGGGAAATGATCAGGGTTGCTCGTGTTGATACTGGCTCCATTGCAACCAGGCAGTGGGGGCAGTAAAAGGGCTTAATCTTCAGATTCTTCTCGTCATAGTTCACACATTTTGCATGTTGCCATAAGTGGCATTTCAGGCACTGAACGCGAGGCTTAAGGTCCACCTGGCCCAGTTCACCACATATGCACTCAAAACGATAATCGGCAGAGTCGCAGGGGCTCATGGTTTCACCATGTGCTCCATCACCATCGGCAGGCTGGAGAGATTCAGTCTGGCCCTCGGGACTGGGTTCATGTAGGACTTTAGAGACACCTATACTTTCAGACATGCAAATGTCAGTTATGTGGGAGTCACTGGGAGGTGGACAAAGCCCTTGTGAATCAGGCTTGATGTCAGGTTGACTGGGTTCTCTCTTTGTGGACAAAACAGGCTTCTTCCTCAATCTACTACGAATTTTCCTGGGCTTATCATAGTAATAATAAGGATCATCATCATCATCAGAGGTGTTTGACGGCAAATATTCAGAGTCAGCGTCCTTGTTTCCAGATTTCCTAGATTCTCTCTGGATCTTCCTAGGGCTCCCCAGTGTCTATAAAAAGAGAAAAAAAAATCACTATTGTAATAGTCAAATTTCTAAAATTAAATTCTCATACTATCTGTTATATATGTCATAACTAGTCTTTGCTGCTCCTTTCCTTACAAAGAAACCACTCCTGATCAAGTGTTTCTAATTTGTCTTCTTAAATATTCCCTCCGTAGTCTGCAAGTAAAAAAACCCAACCAACCAAACCAAACCTACAAACTTCCCCCTCCAAAATAATATCAACCACCAAAGAAAAGTAGGGGCATACTATTATGTAGGGGAGATCTGGAAGGCAATAAAGAATACAAGGATATTCTTTGTAATACTGTGATGTATTCTTTGAATAATTTGATCTGAGCATCTTGTTATTTTCAGTCTGTTCAAATCACATATGTCAGAAACAGTTTCCTAGAAGTGAATTTGGAATTGAAGTTGGAAAGACGAGTAAGGCCGTTGAGCTCTGAGTCAGTATGGATTTCTCTGTGAGATGTTACTTCCTTGTTAACAAGAGCAAGTAAAACACAGTAGTTCACTGAAATCTTCTATCCTGACTTACAAGTCTGTGGAAAATGATGGAGATGAACTTTTTGTCTATTTAACTTCTTGTTATCAGTCAGCTCTTCATTTAGGTCAGCACATTTTGTAAATGTTTTCTTAAAAACAAACTGGAATTACTGCTCAACAGAAATAGTTTAACAAGTAAAAATTTTTGTAAAATGATACAAGGAAAGTCAGTATACAAAAAAATTCACATCGTAGCTAAAATGCTAGACATAATGATTTTTTAATGTTTTTACTTTTGAGAAATTTTTTTAACTGTTTAAACCAATATTACTGGGATACAGAAGAGAAGTTATTTTAAACTCTATCAGATGCTTAACCAACTAATGTCATTCAATAAATATTTGAGTATTTGCTATACTTTCTTCTGCGGGCCTATTGTTGTTATGTGTTGTTAAGTTGGAACTCATAACTGATCCTCCTGGGGGATTCAAACTGCATGCCTTTGGGTTTGTAGTGCAGCTCCTTACTGACTAGACCATCAGAGCTGTGTGTTTAGTAATAACCAAAATGAAATCTCTACTGTCATGGAATTTATAGTGAGCAAGCAGTAAACTTAACAGAAATGTAACTTTCCATTAAGTGCTTTTACTCACTGGTCTGTTAGTTTGTTTTCAGCCTTCAGACTGTAAAGGATTTAGTCTTTAAAGCATGATCCGTCAATATATTATAAATAATTGGTTACCTGCTTTCTGATCTTATCACATACATCTTCCTCCTTGTAATTCTTCCCCAATGTAAAAGTCCCAGAAAAACCATGGCCTTTGATCTGCTTCACAAGACCTTCAAAAATTAAGCATTTCAGCATCCTTTTCAAAAGACTTCTATTCCGCTGAACATCGTAACTGTATGTAGAACTGACATACTTATAAATGGAAAGGATAGACACTCCTTTTTTCCCATTCATTTCTTTCACAGCTGTCAAAATCATCACACGAGTGGCTAAATGCAAAAAAAAAAAAAAATGCTAATTCAGTGAAAAGAATAAAATTAAGAAACAATAAGTACCATCTAATCTTAATTATTATCAAAGACCTAGTTAAAAAAAGAAATCTATGTATTGTTGTCAGGTTGTCCACTCAGTGTTAGAAAATGTTAAGGGGAAAATTGTTACACGTATTAGAACGTAATTTGAAATAGAAATAACTTAAGGATAAGTAATTCATGCCAAACTGCTAATCCAACAAACTATCATTCAAAATTAAAACACAAAAATGCAGCATCTTTGGCGAAAAGAAATCAACCTAAAATGAACTGAGTTTAACATAAACTGGCTTCACTATTCCTACCTTGGCCCATATTATTCTAGGTCCTCTGCAAAGATTTGTTATTAAATAAATGAAAGGAAACGATTACATAAAAACAGCTGCCTCCAGTGTCTTTTAAAAAATTTTTTTTATTGTGATTTTAATGAAAGTTTATTAAGCAAATGGATTTTTCAGTCAACCATTCAAAGATATTTTGTTTGATAGCATTAGTTACAATATCCATGATGTAATCATTTACTTCTCTTTTCTTCCCGGTAGTTCTCATTGCTAGCAATCTTTCTGTCCTACTTGCTTGTTTGTTGTGACACAAAGGCCGGCAACTGATAGTGTGTAAAGGGCTCTACATCAACCATCTCTCAGAACTCAGGTGGCAGAGAGCTCAGAACCTGATCCCTCTGTGTGTTCTTTGGATGATGCTCACTTAGCATTTGTCAGTGTCATTCTTTGCCATAAGGTTCAAAGAAACATATTTTAAATCTATTATTAGGATGTTTGCAATGTCATGAAATAAATCCTTTAGAATAGGAAAAAAACCCAGAAATTTCTCACAATTATGTAATTTTCAAATATATCTTGCAACTAGAAGAGAAATGCTCATTTTGATAACAAATTTAAAATAGAACTATAGAATAGAGAAGTTTAAGTTGGCTTTTTAAAAAAAATTAAACCTAACAAATTTAGTAAAATAATGTATAACAAATTTGCTACCTACACAAAATCAAAGGAAAAAAATATCTCCTTTTGTTAAAAGTCTGACTTCTAATTAAATCCACCTGTACAAACTAGAAATCTATAGTTATTCATAATAATCAAAAGACATCTTAAGACTGCAGAGTAGACAGCAAAGTCAATAGAAAAAGGTATTTTCAGTCAGAGATGTCATACTTACGGGGACACTGAACTCTGACCTTTGGCTCAGATTCCATATTCTGAGTTTCTGTGCGTTTTCTTTTTCCGCCGGAATAATGTGGTGGAATAAAATAATTCACCACTTTTCCCTAATAAAATAACATATTAAACAATCACACATTGTTTTGCTGTTAGCATTCTAAATTTCTTCGTAACATTAAAACTCCTGAGGAGAAGATGAAAAAATAATCTTGTGGGCAAAAATAAATTTAAAAAGCATAGCGCTAAATATGTTACACAGACAACACACAAAGTTTATTTTCTTATTTCAAACCTTATTAATTTTTAAAAAATTGTGCTTACCACATGAAATTATTTAAATTTTAGGTGTGGAACTTATGAATTTAACTTTTGAAGTTTATTTAAACACAGAATTAATACATTTAATTGAAAATAATCCAAAAGCAATAACTTAGAATTGAAATATCACATGAGTGAAAATCCCAGAAAGTGACAGGTCATTATTAGATGCCAGCATGTTGATTTGCAACTCAGTGTGAGCTGTCAACAATGGATCTGAACCTTGTCCTGTGCTGTGCTATCCTCATGATCTCTGTCCTCCTCAAGACCATTGTTGTGGTCACTGTCTCTCGTTGGGAGTCTTCCTCCTTCCCTCTCTCTCTCTCCTTCCCTCCATCCAAGTATCTTCCTCTATCTATCTTGTCGGAAAGTCTCCCTCTCTTTCGCTGACCCTCTACAATCTCCCAGCATGATGTCTCTCTCCAAGGAATGGTTCCCCCTGAAAATAAGCTCAAGGTAAGTGGAACCATACTGGACCATTCCTGTCTCAAAAGAGCTGTCTGGTTGGTTGCATTTCCTTCAAGATATAGCTGTTTGTTCTTGGTAGCCATGGGACATTCAGTACTCTTCACCAACACCCCAATTTCAAGTTACTGATTTTTTTCGTTCTGTCATCCTGATCCACTGTCCAACTTTCACATGCATAGAAGCAACTTTGATAAATGTTGATAGCTAGAGAGGGGCTTCAGGCCTTTTGTTCACAGGGCTGCTATGAGTCATGCTTGACTTGAAGGCACTCAACAATAACAACAGGAAGCAACTGAAAATACCATGGTTTGGATCACGAGAACCTTAATCTTTAAACTGACATCACCACTCTTTAGCCATTTGGAGAGGTCCTTGACAGCAGATTTCCCCACTGTAACACATCTTTTGCATGCTACCACGGGTCTGGATAGCAGATCCACATAAAATGAAACTGGTGACTTCAATCTTGTCTCCATCTATTATGCTGACCATCGGTCCTGTAGTGAGGATTTTTGGTGTTGTGATGTAATGCTTACAGACTGTGGTCTTTGTTCTTCTGCAGCAAGGGTTTCAAGTCCTCTTTACTTACTACAACCTTGTGTCATCTGCCCAATACTGGTTGTTAAGTCTTTCTCTAATGTTGATACTACATTCTTCATATAGTTCGGATTCTGAAATGACTTTTTAGCATACAGACTAAGTTACGAAGAAAAGCCACAACATGATGCACACCATTCGTGATTTTAAACCAAGCAAGATTCTTTTTTTTTTTGTCCAGACAACTGCTTCTTGGTCTATGCACAGGTTTCTCATGAGCACAGTTATGTTTTCAGGAACTCTTTCTTCTCCTCAGTGTTAGCCATTATGTTATGATCTACACAGAAAAATGCCTTTGCATCATCAATGAAATACATGTATCTTTCTAGTACTCTGTTTGCAGCCAAGATCCACCTGACATCAATAAGATACCCCCCGTGCCATGATCTAGTCTGAATCCTGCTTGAACTTCAGATAGTTGCTGATGCACAGTTCAGATATTTTTTCATAATCTTCAGCAACATTTTACTTACATGTGATATTAATGATATTGTTCAGTAATTTCTATTTCCCATTGGATTATCCTTTTTGGGAATTGGAATAAATAATGGCTCTCTTCCAGTCAGCTGGCCTGGAAGCTGTCTTTCTTATCTGTTGGTAGGGTCTGGTGAACATGTTTAGGATTGCATCTATTTCCTCAAACATGCCAAATGATCTTCCATCAATTCCTGGAAATTTATTTTTTGCTAATTAATTCAGTACAGCTTGGACTGCTTCCTTCAATACTACTAATTCTTGGTCATATGCGACTTCCTGCAATGTTTTTATTTCAGTTCATTCTTTTTGGTACAGTGACTTTCTATTAATTCAGTCCATTTTCTTTGCATGCTTCCTACATCATTAAAGATTTGCTCAGTATTGCAACATGAGTATTGACTTTTTTTTTTATTCAGTACTTTCAGCTAGAGAAATGTCGATTCCCTTTTGGATTTCTAACTCCAACTCTTGCACATGTCATTATAATATTTTGCTCTGGCTTCTCGAGCTACCCTTTGAAATCTTCTGTTCTCTTATCTCAGCATTCTTTCTCCTTGTTTTCACTTCTTTTCATTCTATTACAAGTTTTAGAGCTGGTTCTGACTCCCCTCCCCTTCCCTTTCCCTCCCTTCTCTTTCTTTCTCTCTTTCTTTCTTTGTAATGACTTTTTCCTCATAGAAATGAGGCTGGAGAATGAACCATATAATTTTGTACAACCTGATGGGCTGCATGTGCATAAAGTTGACTATCTGTAGAGACAGATCTTGGAGAAACTCAATAATAGCAGTCAAAGGCACGTCAGGGGCTGGCTGTGGAAAAGATCATCAACTACTCATATGCAAGTTCAAACTGAAGTTGAAGAAAAGGAAAACCAGGCCAGGGAATCAAAACAGGACCATGAGTCTATCACAATTCAATTTGAAAACAATCTTAAGACTAGACTTTATGCAATGAACACTTACTGAAGACTAGAGAAGTTGTGGAACGGCATCAATCACAGCTGTTGAAATAATAGAGACTTCTCCCAGGAGCTGACAGAAAAGAAAAGCCTTCCAATAGAGCTACTGGCCTGAATTCAGACTTTTTGCCTTACAAACTTTAAGAAAATAAATTTGTTTTTTAAAGCAAAAAAAACAACAACAAACACCAAACCAAAAAAAAGCATTATCCGTGAAGAAAGCAAAAGATCAAGTGACAGGTACTGAATACTGTATGTTGTTGTTATATGCCATCGAGTCACTTGCGACTCATAACAACCCTATATACCAAGGGCTCTAAACACCGTTCTATCCTGTGCCAACTTCACTGTTTCAAACACATTCATTCCCACCACTCTACTCACAGACTCGATCCATCTCATCGAGGGTCTTCCTCTCCTTCGCTGCCCCTCCACTTTCCCAAACATGATTTCCCTCTGCAAGGACTAGTCCCTCCTGGCAACATGCCCAAAGTATGTCAGACGAAGCTTCTGAATCCTTGACTCTAAGGAGCACTCCGGCTTCACCTTCTGCAAGACAAACCTGTTTGTTCTCTTAACAGTCCATGGCATATTCAACACTCTTCTCCAGCACCACAGTTCAAAGGCATCAATTCTTCTTCTATCATCTCTATGCACTGTCCAACTCTCTGATGCATAGCACATAATTGCAAAGACTATAGCATGGATCAGGCGCACCTTAGTCTCCTCCAGCCTGACGTTGTTGCTCTTCAGTATTCTTGAGCGGTCTCTCACAGCTGACTTTCCCAATGCAATTCATCTCCTGATTCCTGGCTGCTGGTACCATGAGTGTTGACTGTGGAACCAATAAATGAAAACTTAACTATCTCAATCTCTTCACCATCCATACTGATGCTGTCAATTGGCCTAGTGGTAAGAATCTTTGTTTTCTTGATGTTGGGCTTCAATCCATATTGAAAGCTATAGTCCTTGACCTTCTGCAGCAAGTGCTTCAGGTCCTCCTCCTCAGTTTCAGCAAGCAGGGTTGTGTCATCTGCATAATGCAGGCTGTTGATGATTCTTCCACCAATCCTGATGCCACATTCCTCCTCATACAGCCCAGCATCTCAGATGATCTGTTCTGCATACAGATTGAAAAGGTATGGAGACAAAATAGACCCCTGACAGACCCCCTTCTTGATTTTGAACCATGTAGTGTCTCCTTGCTCTGTTCTGATGACTGCCTCTTGGTCCAAGTGTAGGTTTCGCATTAGCCCTATCAAATGTTCTGGGATTCTCATTCTTCTCAGAGTCAGCCATAGCTTGTTGTGATGCACACAGTCAAAAGCCTTTGCATAGTCAATGAAGCACAGACAGACATTCTTCTGGTATTGTTTTCTGCCAAGACCCATAATACTATATAGCCAAGTCAATTTTTTTTTGTAACAAATGAATCAGATTTTTTTTTTCAATTCCCTACTTAATAGTTTGAAATGCTTGTAAGAAAGAACCAACAAAGGGGAATAAATTTAGAGTAAGAATTGTTTCCTTATTTTTTCCTTCTTTGGCCTAAAACATCACTGAACTTTTATAAATTCTTTGATTTGATGTATTTTAGATATTGTCACCTGAGACTTATTACTTGAATACAGAGAGGGGACAAAACCATTCAGCAGTTTCTAGTCTCCTGCTAACATGTAAAGTTTGTCATCCAGGCCCTTAAGAGTGACTCCACTTCTTTGGAAATACATGTTTGAATTTGCAGTACTTCTGTCTTAGAATAGTTTTGTCAAATCATGTCTCGTGTCACTAGCTGTCATTTAGAGATGATGTATCACAGCCAATAAAAACTGGTACTAAGTAACACCTAATACTCTGGCATGTAAATGTCACTAAATTATTGTTTTCACACTAAAACAGGAAAAAGAAATTTTTTTAAAGTATGAAAAGCTAATTTTGCCAGACCTGCCTTTATCAAAAGATTGTATAATCCCAAGATAGGAGGATCGTGAGATAATTACAGCTGTTGTTACATGCCACTGAGTCGGAATCGACTCATAACTAACTCCCCAGTGGGTTTTTAGAGGCTGCAAACCGTGTGAGAGGAAAAGTTCCAGTGGACTCGAACTGTGAACCTTTGGTTTGGCAGTATAACTCCTTACCATTAAGCCCTCATTACAATTAGACTCTTAAATAATGATTCCCTTTGATAAGATTTAATGTGCTGATTTCAGATTTATTTACTGGAAAAGATGAGCAATGGGATATGTTTGCCTCAGTAGGAATTTTTGTTTTTATAAATTTTAAATAATGTACTTTTAAACACTATTATACATTGTAAACACTATTATACATTGTAAACAATGGGAATTCCAAGACACTCAACCATGCTCATATGAGCCTACACACAGACCAAGTAGCAGCAGTCTGAACAGAACAAGGGCCAACACACTTAAAAATCAGGAAAGCTGCATGTCAGGGCTGTATGCTTTCTCCATATTCAATCTGTGTGCTGAACATATCATTTGAGAAATTGGACCACATGAAGAAGAATGTGGCATCAGGATTGGAGGACGACTAACCAACAACCTGCATTACGCCAATGACACAACCTCATTGACAGTAAGTGAAGAGGACTTGAAGCACTTACTATAGAAGATCAAAGACTACAGTCTTTAACATTGGTTAAATCTCAAGATTAAAAACACAAAAATCTTTACCACAAGACCAACAGGCAACATCTCAATAGATGAAGGTTGAAGCTGTCAATGATTTCCTTGGGTTCAGAATCTCATACCCATGGTTAATCGCAGTTAACAAATCAAAATTGAAGGTGTGTGGCACAAAGAAAATCTGCTGTCAAAGATGTCTCCAAATTGCTAACGAGCAATGATGCCAGTTTAAAGGTGCTCTGATCCAAGCCATGGTACTTTCAATTGCTTCCTATGCATGTGAAAGTTAGCCAATGAATAAAGAAAGAGACAGAAGAATTGATGTCTTTCAATTACAGTACTGGAAAAAAAGAGTCCTGAATATCTCAACAACTGCCAAAACAAACAAGTTTATCTTGAAGAAAGTGTAACCAAAGTGCTCTTTAGAGGCAAGGTTGGTTAAACTAAATCTCACATACTTTGGGTATATTGTCAGGACAGACCAACCAGTCCGAGGAACAACAAATCATGCTGGGAAAGGTAGAGGTCAGAAAAAAGGAGGAAGCTCTTCAACCAGATGGATCGACACTGATACTGTAACAATGGACTCAAGCACATCTGAGCTGGTAAGGATGGCAGAGAGGGCAACATTCAGATCTGGTGTTCACAGATGTGCTATGAGCCGTGGCTGACTCAAAAGCATCTAACAACAACAGTCCATTTATGGACAGGGACTCAGCTGGCTTCATCTAGCAATCTAACTGTCAAGCTACCCATCTTTTAACACAGCTAATTACTAGATTCCAAGATTTATGTATCTTAGATTTATGGCACTTAAAAAAAAAAGCTCTAAAAAAGTATTTAGTGGTTTCATGAGTCTTTTCATAAGTGACAGGAAGGTCTGGGTGGCACAAATATTTCCCACTTGACTATTTAAGTGAAGGCTGGCAATTCCAACTTATTCAGCAACTCACAGTATAAAAGCCTGGAGAGCTACTTTTGTTAAAAGCACAGCCAAGACAATCCTTACAAACAGTTTTAAAGTGTAATACCTAATGTTTGTAACAGAGCAGAGTTGAGAGCAACAAGTTTGACTTCACTTTTATTAAGTGAAAACATCTGAGAAAGCAACAGAAATTTATTAAAGAACCTCTCTCAACTTGAAGAATGCTTGTTAAGTGACTATATACATCTGCATGGTGGATAAAATCACTTAATTCTGGCAGGTAACAAAAATCCAGTAGTTAGTCTCCAATGAAGTTAGTTAACCAGTAAGCAATAGAAATCATTAGTCACAGAGTACACTGTAAGCAATGACTTAATAACCAGGGAACTGCTCAACATACGATGCTCTTTGAGAACATATGTCCCTCCGCTTTCCTGGTCTTCCTCATACCTCTGGAAGAGTGAGAGCATCCTGTCTGACATCTTGTCGAGTATGTGTCAGAATCAGAGCCAAAACCTCCACTGTCTTTCCAAGACCCATTTCATCAGCAAGGATTCCACCGATGAGCTGCGGGCCAGCATATGGGTACTCACGGATGATGCTAAAAGAAAAGGCAAGAAAAACATATCATGGAAACACAATTTTAAAAGCATACCACCACGTGTCTCACAAATAACTTGCCACACATAGAACACACTGAGTGTAGATGTTACTTAAATAAAAGTATGGTACCATTCCTAATTACTGCTCTTAAAGAGAGATAGAAGAAATTCGTAAAGTCTAGTTTTCTGAAACGAAATTTTAATGTGAAATAACTTGAACTCCTAGTTCATGGATAGAATATTAGTGATAATAAAAGATTTCCTAAGTCAATAAACTGATCTAACAAACAAGAATGGTGTTGATAAATGGCACTACGAAAGGGAATGGGTCTGATTTTCCTGCAACTTTTATGAATTTGGCAATAAGTAACTAATGATTTATTATGTTTCATTATTCATAAAATCAGTACTACAAACTGACAAGTATTATGGAAAAAACAGGAATATTGGCCAATAATAGTCACATTTATGTTTAGAATTATAATCTCACTTTAAACACTGATAAGTCCTAATGTCTATAATGCTATTTATTGTGTTTGATAATACTTGTAATAATAATTTGGTAATGTTTTTTGAGGTACTGTCAAGGCTGAAAACAATCTCATTTTTTCATGTTATTTATTTTCTAAAACAAAGCACATAAATGAAAATTAGACTTACCACCCTGTGTATGGATTATAGTAGAGTTTCAAACCCTCAGGTGTAACAATTTCTCGCCATAAGAAATGCAAGGCATTTTCTGAAAAACAAACCCAAACACACAAAACCCATAACCACAAGAACAAGAACTTTATTTTTCTTTCGTAGGGTAATTGGGTGAGGAAAAGGAGGATGATTCCTGGAATTCTTTCTTCTAATATAACTTTTTAGCTTCTTTTGTCTTGGCATAAATAGCTTCCATATAAGAAAAAAGCAAAGAATAGGAAATTATAGAGGATTAACAAGGAAATGAATACTTATCACCAACTTCTTGTTAATTGCCTTCAAGTTGAGCACAGCTCATAGTGACCCTATAACAAAAGGCCTGAAGCCCCTCTACAACTATCGACATTTATCAAAGTTCACAGTTTCTGGAGCCAAGTTGTTTGGGAAGCGGATGCCACTCCTACATCCTTAATAAAATAGAGACGTTTTCAAATCAAGCAACCAACATATTTTAGTGGGCCAACAAATTTACCCAAATCAAACCTGACCCATAATGGATCTGGAAGGGAGAGGATGACCTTACATAAGAAAAAAATAATTAACATTGTAACAAGTGTACAGGAGTTGATTTTAAACAGAATTTTCCATTATGCTTCTTAATGTTTTAACTTGTCTAAACCAACTGCCAAAATAATAAGTCTGTCTTTTGCTATTGATAAAACAGCAGTAATTTTTTAATTTCTGAGATTAACAGATGAAACAGAAATACAGATTGATAGTGTTTATAGATGGGAAAAAAAGGGAAACAAAGTTTCTTTTCAGGGGACCCAGAAAGGGCAGGAGATCATCCTAAATAACACAATGATTTAATAAATAAAATCTAGTCTGTGAATACAAAAATAAGTTGTAAACACAAACAGTATAAATGAATTTCAGTTGAAAAAAGACTGAACACCCTTCCACACCAAAAAGCAGCGGAAGGAGTTGAACATAAAGTACTATACAGGAACTTTCTTGGATTAAGGAAATACTTCATTGTCACATAGAAATATACTGCAAAATTACACATGTAATCTTAAATTTTTCTCTAGTCATAAAAAAAAGGGTTTGGATTAATCTTCACCGTATATTTTAATTAACCCAATTTACTCCAAAAATTATTTCAACATATAAGAAATAAAATTTATTAATGAGTTTTAAAATATTTTCCTTGTTTTGTTTCAAACCTGGAACATATTTTATACTTGTAACACACTTCATTTGGTGTAGTCACATTTCAAGTCTTAAAAAGTCATATGTGTGGCTAGTAACCACCTTTTGGACAGTGATATTTCATAACTGGCTTAACTAACTCACAAAGGTACATATGCTCATCAAAGCACATCAAATGGAGCTTTTAACATCTGTGCATCTTAATTATGTACCTTATACCTTAAAACAAGTTAACTCAACAACAAATATCACGGAGCGGGGGGGAAGTCTACTTGGTGGGAAAACTAGAGAGCTAATAATTTCTTCTAGATATGTATTTTGAAAAAAAAAATTACTTCAAAATAATTAAGAGTATAGGGAAATACTGGGGGTATTTTGTGTACCATCGAGTCAGAACTGACCCACAGTTGACCATCTGGTGGGTTTTTTAAGGCAGTAAAACACACAGGAGGAGAATGCCCATCCTTTCTCCCACAGAGCAGCTGGTGGACTTGAAATGTGTACCTTCAGGATTACAGCACAGCTTCTTGCCACTAGGCCACTGGCTAGAAATTAATTATTTAATAGAATGAAACGTTTAAAAAAACGATGTTTGTTGGATTAAAATACTAAAGTTTAGATTGAAATGTAAATGTGGAATTAAATAAGAGTCAGTTGTCATTATTTAAAATAAATCTATAGAGGAGGAATGAGAAATAGCACCTCACTGCCTAGAAGGACATGGAAAACTTTGTGCCTATCGTTTTTAAAAAAGTGGAAAAACAATGTAAAAGAAGAATAGTGTGAAACACAATATATGCGAACTTTGTAATTTTTAAGTAGTTTTTTCTTGTTTATATTCATTATCAAATTGTAGAAAATGATCAGCAAGATTCCCATCTGATTGGCCTCTAAAAGCAATTCTACCTGAAAAAGCCTGGTTTTAAATAACCGCAATGGAAGCCGACTTACTTTAGCAGAATGAACCAGTCCACACTTTAAAGGATGAAGGAACTCACATACCTATGTCCCAGTGTCTTAAAAAATCATTTTCTACACAGTAATAGAAGGGTGAAGGGGTTGGCGCAGGTGAGGCATAGCCTAGACCAGGTGGACTGAGGTGGTGACTGCCACAATGAGCTATGTGTCAGGAAGTGTGAGGATGGCATAGGATAGAACAGGGTTCAGAGCTTTTGTTCACAGGGTCGCTATGAGCTGTATTCAACTCCACATCGCCTAACAACAACAACAACCATGCTCATTCTCTTATTTATCTTTTCAATATGATTTTGCTTAATGATCAGTTCCACTCATCTTTCCTCCTGTAACCAATCTGCCTTTTCTCTATGCATTTTATACGTACCGCTGGCAGGAGCACTTCTGAAACGCTCTTGTTGCAGCATCCAGTTGACAGCCTCTCTCTGGTAGGGCCTCAGCACGGGAGTCAATGCAGGATGCTGGACATCAACTTGAATGGGCTGTGTTTCTTGCTGATGTGTTCGTTTCACAAAGTGATACAGCTCGTCAATGTCTTGTCCTTCCGGCTCACTCTCTGAATCTTCCTCATCCTCTTCCAATGCATCTGTACACACAACAGCAAACGTATTTATAAAAATAAACCAAGCACAATTCTTCTAAAATTGTATGCTCTCCCAACTCTGAGTCCTTGCTCAACATGCTTTGTGCCTGGAATTTTTTAGCCTTAATTCTTCACTGATTAAAAACCCATCATCTCTCTTATAAGGTAGTTACACTGATACTTTGCTCAAGACATTTTCTTTATTTTCTTCTAGCTGGAATGAAAATTCTGCTCTCTGCTCATGCAATACTTTTATACTTTGCTGACAGCAATATGTTGCAATTTCTCTGGCACTTCAATCATGGATGTTTATTTGCCCCTTCTGCAATTAGCCCAGATCTCTTCAGATGCTGCTTTTGGACTTAACGTAATGATGCACATATTTCTTGAGTAATTCTTTTAAGTACAGCAAATAAAGTGAAAATTACATTAGGGATTTCAAATAAGTATAATCTTGTCATATAGTGATTTTTATGGACGTTGTTTAATTTTTATTATGATTGTATTAGCTGGGATTTTGGCTGTCATGGGTTGTAGATAAGGGGAGAATAACTCTTCTATAACAGCAATTCAAAATATAAAATTACCTGGCGTAATAAAATTGTACAACTTTTCCATCACTTTCTTCATAAGCTGATTGAACTTTTTCATTCTTGAATGTGCATCACTCATGAAGTCTAGTTTTGCTAGGCCTGACTCCAAAAGGTAAATTCCAACCTATTAAAAAAAAAAAAAAAATTAATCAACTCAAAACTACTTTTAAGTGGAATACACTATTTTTTTCTTATGAGGACTTACGGTGCTGCTGTAGTGAACACATGGATCATCATTTTTTAAAATATTCCAGGTTCCCCCTACGACTAACTGATATTATATACTATTGTGTTGATTTGACCTGCCTGAAGAGTTCAAACTGCCCACCTTTCACTTAGGTGCAAAACAGTAACCACTGCACAGCAAGGGTAACTCCTTAATCCCCCTCACATATTTTCACTTTTCATAATGAAGTCATTCTATACATGCAAATGCCTATTATATATACCATTTAAGTTGCTTGAAAAAAATTACTTCCCTAACTTGAACCAAATCTATGCAAATGTGATCAGAACATGTAATTTTACCTAGGAGGCCACTGATTCTCAAATCATCAGTGATATTTGTTAAAAATGCAGATTCTACTATAAGATTCTGATGGTGCATATGCCAGGATTCAGAGATATTTATTAGGCTTGTTAAACTTTGGAAGCAAGAGTGGCATCCACTTTGTAAACAACATGCCTCTGGAAACTATGAACTTAGATAAATGATGATGGTTATAGAAGGGCTTCAGGTCTTTTAGTCATAGGATCGCTATGAGTCATGCTCCACTCGACGGCAATCAACACCACCACTGCTGTGTACCACTGAGTTGAGAGTGACCCACAGCTGACCCTCTCCAGCGGGTTTTAGAGACAGTAAATGGCACAAGTGGAGAATGCTCACCTTTCTCCCGCAGAGCTGCTGATGGATTAAAATCAAATACCTTTGTGTTGGCAGCACAATTCCTAACCACCAAGCCACCCACCACAGCTCCCTAGTTAACCTTCGGAGTCCTTAATAGTAGACTAAGATTTAGGACACAACAAACAGCATGTGTATGAGGATGTAAGAATGTAAGATTTTAGCACATTCAGTTTATGATAATATCATCTACCCTTTAATTTAATGAGAAATTATGATCCACTGAATGAATAAAAATCTAATTTCTTTGTAAATGTTCATTAAAATAACAATTAAAAGTTATACTTCTTTACCAAAAAAAGAATGTACAATTTTGTGTAAAAAAAGGTGAATTTACAATGAACTAGCGTAGCATAAACTTTTACAGCCAAGAAATTAAAATCCCTATTGATATGCAGGAGTTAAACTAAAAATTGACTAATTTATTTTGACATGATCTCACTTGCAAAACGGATACCTCCACGAGACAGCTGGAGTGCTGTGTGCCAGATTCCTTCTGTTGGTCACTGACATGCTCACCTTTTCCACTACAGAGCACGAGCGTATCAACTAGAATCAAGTGGCTGAGTGAGATGTTATTTCATTATTCATTTACATCCTACCCTGTCTTCACTGAGGATACGATGGCTACAATGACAATGAGCGCTAAAATATTTTTAGATAAATTTGCGACCAGGGAAAACAGGCCAAGTCTTGGTACGTCAGTGGACAGAGGGAACACAGCTAAGCAGATCATGAATTCGTATCTACTTGGAATCACAAAGCCATTGTTTTGGTACTCACATTCAGGAAAGACATTCAGTGCTTGATTACATAAGTTCATTGTCAAGGGAAAAAAGTTACAATCTAATGCTTCTAAATTTTTTCCTTTCCTCTGTTAATTCTAAAACTATCAATATGGTTTTCAACGAAATGGCTTATTAATTAATATTAAGTATGCATGAGGTGGCTTTCAATCAAGGTAAAGGTGAATTTAATAATTTTAGAATTTCATGTTTTAGCATGAAAGTGTATTTCTTTGCTTCAAAATTTATAAGACTTTTATTTACATTATTTCCCAATTCTCAACATAATTCTGAGGTAAGATAAATCAGTATTATTTCCATTTCACACAGAAAGGTGAACTTTGAGGATTTAAATAATTCACATGAAGATTTCTGGTGAGTGAAGGGTAGAACCTAAAAGAAATTATAAATTTATTCACTCACTTATGAAAAAACTTGAGTACCAAGCTCTACGTAACAGGGTGGGGCTGTAAGAAATCATTTAGTCTAGTGGGAGAAAGGTGCAAAATGTAAGCACACTCTAAGCTGTTGAAGCCAACTACATACAAACATCAGGTGCCATGAGGGAGAGAGGCACAACATAGCCCATGGGCCTAATAAAACATCTCCCTGAATGAAGTGAACTCTAACTTCGCTTTAAAGTTTAAAAAAGACTTGGAAGTTATTCAGGGAAAAGGGACAACAGAGGTGGAGGAGACTGAGAGCAAAAGCAAAGAAGCAGAAGCAGCAGGGTATGTAATCACCAAATGTCCAGGACAAAATACAAAGGACAGTGATAAAGGACGAGCTGGAGAAGGGGACAAAGCACCACGGGGCCAGCAAGAGGAGGACTGTGGGCTCCAGGAGAAGGTCACACCTAATTCCGGAGCAGTAAAGAACAGAATTCTACCTGTGCTCTTGTTCTAATTCTACAAGCAAACTGGATGCAAAATTTAATAAGGCATGACTGAAAACAGACAATGGTTAAGTGACTGGAACAGGAAGAGCAAAGAGTTGGTGGGCACCAGGGAAAGTCACTGAGCAGAGATGCACAGGAAGAAAAGAAAAAAGGAGCTGGGAAGATCAGATCTCCTTATGAAGGACGACAGCCTTGAAGCAATTTGTTGTACTGTTGATGGTTTTGACATTCTAAAATAAAAGTTTTGAAATGTCATCATGAGGGCCTTACTGATGACTTTTCACAACCTCCTTCTCTCTCAGTAGACTTTAAAAAAATGGACTACCAGCATAGAAGAACCTAAAAAGATATTACAGAAATTTCATACCTTGACAATATGATTTCCTTCTGGTCTTTGGTACAATTTTATTATTCTCTTTTTTTGCAGCCACCCCAAGTCTTCTAAAAGTTCACGACTGAAGGATGATTCCACCTGAACACTCTCGTCACCAATACTGATTGGTTCTAGGAGGCTTGTTTCTTCTTTCTTCCCATCTCCACAGTCTGAATGAATGTAGACCAGCAACTGATCGCTTGACTCTGAACTCATTAACGTAAAACTCCTTTCAGAAAAATTGTCAACTAGAGTCTGTTGAGGAAGAAGCTGCAGAGTTAGTTCTCCCAGAAATGCTTTCCAAGAGTTATCCAGATGATAGGGAGCTATCACAATGTTCAACTTTATGAATGAAGGGGGGGAAAGACCAACAGTCTCTTCCGCATCAAGCGAGTGTGAAATGCTCACGGACTCTGTACTCCTCTTCTTTCCTCCGGGAGACGTTTCCTCCGTTAGACTATCGTCCCGGATGAGGCCATGAGTGGAGGCGGAGTCTGACCCCAGGCAGGGCCGCTCGTCATCACTTAAGCTGAGAGGTTCGTTCCTTCTGTCTTCGTGCATATTCCAACGAAGCTGCTGCTGCTTCTCTTCATCCACCTTCACGGGAGGTGCACGCTTCCGTCGGCTGCTCATCTTCAAGTTTTCTGGTTGGTAAATGTGAGCTCTAGAAAACAAATATAACAGTAGGCATTCCAAGGGAGGATTTCAGTGTTAAGAGTTCATACATGAGAAAAGTAGAGAGTCATACTCGACACGCACAACATGCAACCTGCAGACCAGGTGCTGCTGAGTCAATTTTGACTTTTGATGCCCCCACACATGTTAGAGTAAAACTGGAGAGAGATAAAGGAAGCAATGGGTATTCTTTTAAAAAAATACAGTCAAACAAGGTAAGGAACCCATAAACTATAATGTCATATATCAAATAAATTTGTAAAACTTTGGTGAACAAATCAAAGTCTAAAAAATACTTAATGCCCAGGACATAGTAAAGTAAATCTCTTAAATAGCTAAAACTGCTTATATGAAGTGTTTCAGTAACATTTAAAGTCATTATCAATAAAGAACACCACTTTATGTTTTATAATCCCCAAAAGTTAACATCACTTGATCTTTATATCTCTCAACAGTCCCTGGGAAAAATCTTCTTTCCCAAAACTTCCCATCTATTGCTTTCAAGTCAGAAGCAACTCATAGCTGACCCTCTAATGGGTTTCTAAAGTTGTAAATTCAAACTTCCCATCCTTCAAAACGGCGGATATATTTGAACCACCAGAGAGGCATGGTCTTTTGGTTATCTGTGCAGCTCACTCTGTACTAGGCCACCAGTGCTCCTTTTGAAAAAGGAACATTAAAATGCAGAAATGTACTTCTATTACGGATTAGCAGGTAAGAAAGGTAACTGGGCAGAGGGGGAAAGGTGATGGGGTTAACAGGGAAAATGAGTGAGAGACAGTAAGACAAAGAGAAGAAACATGAAGGGAAGAAAGGAAAGCAGGTGTCGTCAGGCCAAAATATGAAACTAGGCTGAGAGGAGCAGTCAGTCTGATACAGGTCTCAACCTTTACTTTTCCCAAAACAAAAGCTAAATCCTGTATTTGCATAGGACAACTCAAAATCAAAGGAAAAGTCATACCCACCATTTCTACCTATTATAATCTATTATTAATATCGCTACCTATTATAATAAATATTACAAATTATAACCGTGTAGCTGAGAAAAAACAACAAACCAAAAATTGACGCAGAAACATTTAAAAAGTGACTTCACCAGATGTTCTGCTGGAGAAGGAGGGAAAATCTCCTCCTGTACTAGTCAAATCCAATTTGACCATACACACAGACACACACACACACACACACTAGTAAAATTTAAAAAAAAAAAAAAAATAACTGGCTTCAAGTGCAGTTTAAGACATTTTCTCAATAATTCCAATTGTGAGTAAACCCAATCTTGGGAGAGAAATGGACAATCTCTTGGGTGCTTTATAACCTCAGAAAACCTGCTGGAGGGTCAACTATGAGTTGGGTCCAACTTGCTGGCAGTAAGTAAGCGTTGTGAGCTGAGAGACATTTTCCGAGACGGGAAGGTGGCATAGTCCATGGGCTGCTGTGCTACTAACCCAAAGGCAGTACCTTCCCTGCTGGTTGAAACCTACAGCATCTCTGTGGGAGAGTCACGGGAAAGCTCTTCCCACGCAATGCACAGCCTCCTGAAAACCCAGCGATGACTTGGAGACAAGGATAAAGATACTTACTGAACATTCAGCACTGTATTCTATTTTAGAGAAGGTACAAACTCAAATCATGATCTCTATCTAATTCAGCAAATGAAACACCAAATCACTTCTGCTGAAGTGATCCCGACTGATAGCAACACTCTCTTGGATTTATATAGCTATAAATATTAGACATTTAGTTTTTTTTTTTAATTTTATATTATTAATTTCAATGAACATTTACAGAGATTTTGGATTTCCATTCATTCACTGTTGCACTTTTCTCCCTACCCAGCCCAACCCCCCCAGTTCACTCCTCTTTGAAAAGTAAAATTCTTTCATTGGCATACAATCCCCCCCAGACATTTGGTTTTATAATATTAAAATTTATTAATGTAATTAATGTATGTTGTGAATCTTTACAGGAAGAGATTATCCATCTTCCTCACTTGGAGTGGTTGGTGGATTCGAACCACTGACCTTTAGTCCAGCATAGGAAAATGCAAGAAATAACAATAATAAAGCGTGTTCTGTTTTCTTAATGACCAACTGAGTACTGAGGCATGTAGAATCTTAACTTCATCAACTGTACATGCCTTTCTATGCTACTCTAAATCTAAGAACAGGAAACGTGTTTTAAACAAGACATAGTACCATATTCACTGCCATCAAGTTAGAAATCTCTCACAGTTGACCTAGCCGGTTGCTGAGGTTGTAAAATCATGCAGGAGGTTAATGTCCGTTTCTCTCCCACAGGACATCTGATTCATTTCAAACCTTGAGAGAAAAGTGTTGTCTCTGGTTTAGCAGTGCAAGCCCCCTAGCACTGTACCACCAGTGCGCCCTTTAAAGAAGGACTACATAAACCACAAGCCAAGCTCACTGCTGCAGAGTCAAGTTCAACTCCCAACAATCTTACGGGATGGAGCACAGCTGCCCCACGGCGCCTCCAGGCTTATAATCTTTATGGACACAGACAGACGGGCTTTTCTTCTGTGAAAAGGCTGGTGGGCTTGAGCCTCCGATCTTCTAGTTAGCAGGCAAGCACTGTGCTGGAGGAAGATGTGATTTTGTAAAATTATAGCCTTGGAAATCTTACATGACAGCAGCACTCCGTCCTAAGGTCATTATAAGGGAGAATTTACTTGATAGCAACAGGTTTTTGTGTGTATATGTATTTTATCTATCCATTTACATTGTTGCGACTTTGGAATGTTACTAATAATATTGCCATGAACAGTCATGCACAAGTTTTTATGGTTTGAATCACCTTGAAGTGAACATATGGTTTGAATCACCTTCAAGTGTTGCTTAGAAACAAAGCTGGTGAAGCTTTATCTCATATACTTTGAGCATGTTATCAGGAGGGACTAGTCCTTGGAAAAATACATCATTCTAAAAAAAGTACAGCAAGTCAAAGGATGAAGGCGTTCAACAAGATGAATCAGCACGGTGGCTGTGACAAGGAGCTCAGTATAGGGGAGACTGTGAAGGCTCCGGGTCAGGCAAGATGTCCATCTGTTGCACACAGGGTTGCTGTGATTTGTAGTTGTTAGGCTGAAAATAAAAATGGAGGTTGAAGCTCAACTAAAAAAGATCCTGTCAGGATATTTTCCAAAACTAGCACTTAGAAAATCCTATGTCAGGACATTTCCAAAAACCAGAACTTAGAAAACCCTATGTCAGGACATTTTTCTGAAACCAGAACTCAGAAATCCTGTCAGGACATTCCCCAGAATCAGTTTCCCAAGACTAGAAACTTTATGCCCCAATAAGCCACTGCAACGGCCCCACATAACCCCCCTAAGCCCAACTCCCAGTGCTACTCCCCTTGCTGAGTAGCCCAGCACACAATAAACTGAGAAATGTTTCTACCGTGGCGTGGTTCTTGGCTTCAATCAGAAACCTTTCAGTAGTCAACTGGATGGCACCTAACAACAATATATACCTGGAACTGCAACTGCTGGGTCACTTCACTATGTTTAACTTTTCTGAGCAATCACCAAGTTGTATCCACAGTGGCTGCATCATTTTACATTCTTAACAACGCATGAGAATTTGGCTTTCTCTACATCCTCTCCAAAACTTGCTATTTTTTGTTAGTGTCATTGTTAATAGTAGTAACAGTTTTAAGACAGGCATTCAAGTGTGAAGTCCTGTCTCATGCTTATTTTGACTGTAGTCCACTAAAAACTTTAAACAAAATCTTCACTACTGGACCAACAGGCAATATCATGAGAGATGAGGAAAGACTGAAATAGTAAGTTAATCTTTCTTGGGTCCACAGGCAACACCCTTGGCAAAGGCAGTCAGGAGGTGAGGAGATATATATATAAGGGAAGTCTGTTCTCAGGGATTACTTCAAAGTCCTGAAGAACTATGATGTCCGTTTAAAGACTAAGGAGCACTTGAATCAAGCCACAGTTTTCCCATTATCTGCTATGCTTCTGAGAGCTAGACAATAAGATGTCAGGAGAAGAACAAGCATTTGAGTTGTGGTGTTAGAGGAGAAGGAAGACCCCAAGGACTGTCCAACAGACAGGTATATCTTGGAGAAAGTGCAATCAAAATGTTCCTTAGAGGCAATGATGCTAACGCTTTGTCTCACATATTTTGGACATGTCAGGAGAGGTTACTTCTTAGAAAGGTATATATATGCTTGGAAAGGTCAGTGAAGGAAGGGAAGAGCCTCAGTGAGATGGACTGATACAGTGTCTGCAGCAAAGGGCAGCCCAAGACTGGACAGAGTTCAGCTCTACTGTTCACAGGGTCGCTATGAGTTGTATTCCACTTGACAGCACTGAACAGCAAACAGCAGCAATGATTAATGAGAGATCCCATAAGGGTGGCTTAGTGGTTATGAGTTGTGCTGACAACCCGAAGCCTTACGCTCCGAATCCACCATCTGCTCTGTGGGAGAAGAACGGGCAATCTCCTTATGTGTGACTTACTGCCTCTGAAAATTGGCTGGAGGGTCAGCTATGGATCAGTTCCAACTTGATGCTACACAAAAATGACAACAAAATGATGAATAAAAGGGACTATTTTTTTCCTTTTTCACTTCCATTTAAATTTATATTAATAAATCATTCATCATCAAAGGTACATATTTTTTTAAATTAATTTTTAAAATTTTATACTGTACATTGTACTCATACTCGATCATTCCCATTTCTTTCACCCCTCCCCCAAATTGTGTGACCCTATGATTAAAATCCTTCCCATGCCCTCCTCAATATCTTTTAACACGCTAACTGAATAGTTTAAAAAAGATAATGTATAACTTGTAGAAAGAAAATGTATGATTTTTTTTTAAGGATAAGGGTTAAAAGGAGGGAAGAATACGGTCTGCAACTGCAAGCTGATCTAGAAGCAATTTTAAAAGGTTTATGTTGCAAGATTTATACTGATTCCAAGATTTCCATCTCTAGTAATCAAC